GTATAAATAATGATTACAATCAGTGCCGGCCCTCACATAGGGCGAGTTGGGCAATGGCCCAGGGCCCTATTGCACAAAGGGCCCCACAAATTTTATATTCTTCTTATTATTTTTAATAAAAAACCAATTAAGAGAAATAATTAAAGTGGTGCATTAGGCAACAACACATGGAAAGGGACTTTGAAAATAACTTATAAATTTTCTACTAGATAAAATATCACCAAATTTTATGTTGAACATGTACATTAAGTTAGGCTTCTATTCCAAGTAAAATTAGACAACTTTTTTTTTTTGTTTTTGAGAGAGAGAAAAAATTAGTCAGTTTGAGTGAGTAAAACATCGGATTTTACAGCAATTATTACAATGCTTCTGCTTTTGTACAGTTCCAGAAAATAATTCATAGTAAATTCATTATTGATCCAAATCATGCACATGGCCTACCAAAATTACCCAAAGATAGAGGTGCATTATGTCATAAAAAAATTAATTTTCAAAGCATAATTAATACATAAAATTGAATTTTAGGCGCAAGAGCAGAACGTACATGACGAAATAAAAAAAATGAAAAAAATAAAGCAAAAATAAATAAATAAATTTATATCTATTGAAAACGTTTTTGGTGGAACACACTTTTATGGGCACTAGCACTCTTATAAGTGGAAAAGAAGGGTTGTAATTATGATATAAAGTGAGGGGCATTCCAGATTTTCCAGGGCAAGTAGGGAGTGAAGTGTAAGTTAAACTTAAAAGTAGGTAATCCAAAGTAAAAAAAAAACTTATAGGGGACTAAACCGTAAAGTTTTTGGTGATTAGGTATTTAGTAGCAAAAACCCCTTTTTTTAAAGGGCTTTGCTATTGTCAGTGCATTTTTTCCTGTTATAGTGCGAAATAATTCATTTGTAGAGAATAATCTCATTTAGTGTAGTCTTGCTTGAAATTCCTAGTATTTTTTTTTTTTTTTGTCAAGTATCTAACTAATTTATCTTTCTTTATGTAACAACAAGAAGGAGACAACTTGTATTTTGATCCCATTGTTTTGGAGCGACACTAGTATGAAGATTACCCTCACTTCTTCCAAGTTGATATTGTGTTCGATAGTAGGGAAGAATTAATCAAGTGGGCGAAAGCAACTGTAGTTAGTCATTCTCACAGTTTAATTTGTCAATCTAGAAGGGGGAATGCACAGACAAACGAATATCGATGTGGAAGATGTTAGAAAAACTGGAACAAAAAAATGTGGTTGTCCGTTCAAATTAATTGGTAAAAAGTTAAGGTTTGATAAATTATGGTGGTTGACTGTCAGCAATAGCAAGCATTCTTATCCTCCGGCGTTGTTTCCTCACGGACATGGTACAACATAAAGCAAGAATTAAAAAATTGAGAAACTCTCACGTGAAGCCCATGTTCATCATGGATAGATCGGGAAAGGATGATCCGACGACACAAACCTCTATGAAGCATGTTTACAATAAGTTGACCAAGATTAAATAAGATGAAGTGGAGGGGATGACTGTTATTCAGTTTCTGATGCATAACTTTCAACGAGGTGGATATCGACATTAGCATCACGTCGATAGTGAAACGAGCAACACAGGGACGGATGTTATCCTTGCATGCCCCGAATCGATTAAGCTATAACGGTTGTTCCCGTTAGGGGTGGTAAACGAGCCGAGCCGGCTCGCGAACTCGACGAGCCGGCTCGACAAAGGCTTGAACTCGAGCTCACGAGCTCGAGCTTCGGACGAGCTCGAGCTCGAACCCAAAATTAGTTGTTTGACAGCTCGCGAGCTGCCTTTTTTTTTTTTTTTTTTACACACACACACACACACATATATATATATATATATATATATAAATATATATATATATATATATATATATATATATATATATATTATTCTTATTCTTATTATTATTATTATTATTATTATTATTATTATTATTATTATTAACTAAATAATAAATAGTCTATAATAATAAATATTTATAGTATTTAAATATAAACAAATTTATATTACTTAAATAATTCATAATAATATAATATATTATAATAATAGAAAAATTAAAAAAAATATAACTAGAGCTCATTATTTATTTTATAATTTTTTTTTATTTTCTTATAAATAATTTTTAATAAAAAATCAAATGATTTTAATAAAAAAATTAAATAATAAAAAATAAATAAATGAGCCCGAGCTCGAGCTCGAGCTGGCCAAAAGAGCCGAGCTCGGCTCGTTCCCAACCCTAGTTCGCGTATGTTATATTGATGGACTGCACATACAAAACTAATAAGTAAGTAAGCTTCTACTATTGTTTAAATGTTAAGTGTAGTTTTATAATTTATTGTTTAAATGCGTAAAATTGTTTGATGTAGGTATGGATGCCTCGTTTGGAAATAATTGGGATTACTCCAGTTGGCAACAATTTCACGATTGTTGTTGCATTTATGTGCATGAAGATGCATATATCTACGAGTGGACTTTGAATTGTTTGAGAGAGTTGTTAAATGGTGTCGAACCCGATGCGATTCTGACAGACCGGGAGTTGGATCTCTTGAAAGCAAAGGTCTTTCTAGTTTCATCACATGTCCATATAAACCGAACTGTTGAGGCAAATACGAAAAAATTTATGGGAGGCAACAAAGACCACGGTCTTGTTTTCCGACGTGGGGTGTGGGCTAAGCTGGTGAAATCAGAAACCGACGAAGAGTATCAGTACAACTACGATGAAATTGTTGGAAAATAGGCATGATACCCCAGACTGATACAATATTTGAATGATACGTGGTTGATATACAAGGAGATGTTTGTTCGAGCATATACCCGCAATGTGTATCATTTTGGTAACACGAGCACCAACATATTTTCATGTTTTATTTATTTCAGTGATAAAATATATAATATAAAAATAGTATTTATATTATAATTTAATTGTCGTTGTAATCGAACATGGTGGAGAGTGCTCAATCGTCGCAAAGGGTTGGTTAAATGTTTCGATCGGAGGTGTTGATAACGTGCAAAGCAAACTTCGGGACCAAGTTTATATCCAAATCAGTTAGTTAAAGTGCAAGTTTTCCTTATCATCCAATATAAGGAAGCATACTGCAGCGTGGTCTTGCTTTCAGAGTTTGGTTTATTTTAAATTATTTAAGGTTATAAAAAATTATAAAATAGATTGATAATTTTTTTTCATTATTTACAGATTAGCCCCTATTGATAATCACTTTTGTTTTTATGGCCGATTATTGAAATTTGAATATCACATTCAAAAATTAATTAGTTTTAAAAAATTACCTTTTTTAAAATAAGAAAATATTTTTCAGTTTTACCGGTACCGAACAAAAAAAATTGAATTAATTCGGTAAAACACTGTAGCGAACCGAATAGTATGGTTCGGTAATCGGTACAAATTTTCAAAGTACCAAAATTTCAGTACGGTTCTTTATTGTTTTATCGAATGAAAACCTCTAATGTGATTATTGATTTTTGATCTATAGCCAAGTTGGAGATCAGTCCAATCCCCTTCCTTATCAGATATCGTTCTTTATAAGGGAAATGATTAATATATAACGACTTTTAGTAAATGTAGGATATTTTTTTTTAATTTTAATTTTTATCCTTATTTTAGAACGTATTTTAGTAGCTATAGACATTTTAAAATAAAAATTAATTCTCATCCAAATTTATCATTAACTTTCTATAGAACTACGTTTATTCTCTACTATTTCCAGTCTCAACACATTTGAAGAAACTCTTTAAATTCATTTATACTACAAAATATTTTTCCGATGGAAAATATTCATTATAATCGACTTCTTTAAACTTCTTGAGATGATCCTGATCCAAATTAGTAACAAAATTAATATATATTATAAAATCTGCCACAGAAAACAGGAAACGTTCTTTCGCACTGAAATGATTTTTTTTACCTCACTTTCAGCCTTACCATCATCCAAAACCAATAAATTCATGTTCTTGGTGATTAATAATGATTAATTGTGTGATGTACTTCCAAAGTAATGTCGATGGAGACTTATAAAAAAGAGTTTGAAAGAATAAGATGGGGTATATTAGATTTTGATTTTCTTTTTTTGAAAAAAGTCCTATATTTTCTAAAAACACATTCTGCATTTATCACCACCCTCTTTAAAAAAAAAAAAAAAAAGAAAAAAAAAAAAACTGAAATATCACACAGCACAAAACACAAAATTTGAAAATCTGAGATTGTGCACAACTTGAATTAAATGTGGCAAATGTTAAAGGCCACGAGTACTTGTAATTTCATTTTATTTTAGCTCCGCATATGACTATTTACAAAGCCACTCGGGAGTCAACATATGGCTAGGGGGCTATATCCCCACCACTCTTACCCCAATATTTTTTAAATCTCTGTTATTTTATATAGAAAAAGAAAATATGTATAATAGCATTAACTGCATCTTTGGAAAAAAAAAATTAACATTCGTCCTTTCAAACTTAAAATTCTAACTCAGCTAGTATATGCAGTAGCCTCACAAAACACACACACCAGAAGAAAAAAAAATAATAACAATAATAATAAAAACCAAAAAAAACCAAAAAAAAAAAAAAACATTTTTACTTTCAGAGAATGCATTTTTCCTTGAGAGCTTGATTTTATTTTTGAAGTTCCACAAATATATATTTTTCCAGAAGAATAAACGGATAGGATTGCGAATCAACTCAAATAACTCAATACTTGGTTCAAGACCGGTTGTCGAAACATCGTTTGAGCTCAACTTATTAGCATAACTAATCAAAGTTGCACATATATTTATGTTCAATAACCTATAAAGCTCGGCTCGACCTCGAGCTTTATTAGAGAAATAAATAATAAAATGCGCACACAAAAAATTCAAATACACTTTTCACCCCTATCATTTAACAAAAAAAAAACACGATTGAGTAACACGTCCCAAAATCTCAAATGCTGTTGATAAATGCGCGTTACTACAAAAGCCAAGTCGACTTTTGTTAACTGCAAATACGTAATTTTTCTATATACGATCTTCACTGCATGAAAATTCTCGTAAGCAGTGTTACTTTTGTTCTGTATTAAAAACATCCATAATTTACAATTACATCCTCAGCAGAAAGATAAATGCCAACCTGACTAATACTTAAAAATAAAAATAAAAAAATTAAATAAAAGACTAATATACCCCTTTGTAGGTAATATATAAAGAACACTTGAAATGCAGGCCAGAGAAGATTTATAAATAAGGCCTAAAGAATTGAATTACAAACATTATAACAAGTATGAAAAAAAAAAAGAAAAAAAGAAAAAAAAACAGAGCTAACCGATTTAGTTATCTGCTAGGGGGATCAAAAATTTGGTTCATCTCTAATTGTGAATCTCTTCTTGAATTCCCATATTTCTCCATTTCTCTTGCAATCTGTATGTCGTTTGGTCGACAGTACTGAACGACAACTTTTATAACAAAACGAGGTAAGAGTGCTCCTATCACCACGCCGAGCACGCACATCCAAAATAATTCCGTCTTTGCAATATTAAAGAACGACCTGATAAAATAAATAAGATCAGCTACAAATCATTCTTCGTTTCATTTTTTTCAGCCAAAAAAAGAAAACGAAATGAAATAAAGGTTATTCGTTTCCGGAATTTGGAGCATATATTGAGAATTCTACCCTATTTAAATTTATTAAAGAAATGAAAAAGAGGGAAGGGGTTTTATTGCATTAAGCACCCCCCCCCCCTATGTTTGCTCTAATTGTTAAAAGTATCCCCGTATTATTAATATTAGCAAAACTCCCCATATAATGCAAATTGTTTTAGCAAACTACCCCCTAAAAACTCACCATTTTGGCGGTTGTGCGCTAAAAAATTGCTAATATTTACAACACAGGAATTTTTTTAGCAATTCAATATAATGCAGGGGTACGCATGCAATAAACTCAATAAATAATTTGGTTGGGGTGCTAAATGCAATAAACTCAATAAAAAAAGGCATGCAAAAAAAAATAAAATAAAAATCGGTTGAGCAATCGTACCAATAACCAGGCAGCAAGGGGACAAGATCAATGATCATGACAGACACGAAAGTAGAAATTACGGATCCCCAAATAGCCGCGTGTGTTATCCAAGACCACCTTATTATATCCATAGCCAGATGCATATTCACCATTATTACAACCGCAATTGTCCAAAGATCACCCAAACTCGAACCGTCGACACTGCTCCCCCAGTAAGAAAGCAAAGGCACGAAAAAAGCTGCCACGCTTTGCCAAATCGTGTCGAGCATTGTTAGCCAGAATAATCTTTTATTGTAATTCTCTTGCCTTTGTCCGGCCCCGTAAAGCTGAGGGTACTTGAGCAAAGAATCTCTACTTAAATTCTTATCGAGAATTCCAACAATTACTGTAGGGAAACCTGTGTATACTATCGAATACAACACACTGCTCCAATCGGTTATGGCAGTTGTCAATGTGAAACTTGTGAAGAGCACATACCTGGAAATATAAGCCAAGAAAAACGACCGTTAATTTTTTAGTACTGATATGTTCGCGAGCTACGGTATCCCTAAAAGATCTAATTTTCTACACCATAATTTTGGGTTTATTGCATTCGGCACCCCTGTGTTTACTATAATAGGTAAAATAACTATTACAGTAAACAACAGGGGTACTAAATGCAATGAACTCGCATAATTTTACTAGAAAAAATCTAAACTACATATTTCATTTAACTCCCACAGTGAAGACTAATGCATTCGCGTTTTTTTGATAATCTTGGGGGATATAAATAATCATTATCAAGGACATCATAATTTAATTATTAGAGTGCCATAACAAAAATTCCTACAAAATCTTGAAATCTAAAGGTTAATAAAGACATGAAAAAATTCAATCACCGACCTATCTTTCTTAATCCCATTATTGTAAGTTTTAGCAAAAACAAAAGCAAAACGACATTATTCCACGAACAACCAAAACGCATATACTTACCAGAACAAGACAAGAACGAAAACAGCATTCCTGTAGAAGTTATACAAGATCATATAACTCATTCTCTGATAATTCCAATGCCCGTGAACCAATAACAACGGCACCAAAAATCTAAACTGACCCATCGCAAAATCCGACGCCATGACAGCCTGTCGACCTTCTTGTCCACTAATTCCTATCCCCACATCAGCCATTTGGATCATCGAAACATCATTTGCACCTGAAAAGTCATAGCATGACAAATTTGTCACTTTATATCGGAAAACTTAACCAAGTTATATGTCCGTTTAATTGCTTTTTTATGTCCTACTTTAAAAGTGTAAATGTCTTATGTTTCATAACTTTTTTGTTATACCTACAATACCCCTATCACTAAGTTCAAAATATGGATTAATTATGGTCAATTAGGTAAATGTGGCATTCGATTAAGTTCTTATTTTATTTCCTTTCTTCCCCATATTTATCCATTTTGAAGGTCTGAAATAGTTTGTATAGTTTAGATAATTTGAACATCAATTTTTAATCAACCAAGTAATTCAAAAAAATTATGATAATTTATTAAAACAAATACAATGCTTACCATCTCCAATGGCAAGTGTCATGTCATCAGTTCTGTTCTTTATCAGAGCAACTATTCCAGCCTTTTGCAACGGAGCCACTCGACAACACAACACAACATTACATCTGCTCGCAAATTCAAATAGCTGCAAACATATCACAAACAATTAAAAAGACAGTAACATAAACAGAAATTGAAACAATCACTGATATATATATATATATATATATATATATATATATATATATATATATATATATATATATATATACCTGTTCTTCAAGATCAGTATCCAGTATATATACAAGACTCGTTCCGTCAATAATCAACGCAAGCTGATTTATTTCAGCTGCCAAAGAATCAGTCCCGAGTTTCTTGCACATCAACAAAGCATCTTGCAAGCTTTTCCTACACGATTCCTTAGAGTTGTTGTTTATAACTATCTGAGTCATCTTACTAGTCAAAAGCTTCGAAGAATATCCAATCGACACAGCTGTTTCTTGCTTGTCACCGGTCAAGACCCAAACTTTAATACCGGCCTTTCTCAAAGACTTGACTGCTTGTGGGACCCCTTGCTGGAGTTTGTCTTCGATTGCGCTGGCACCTAATATGCTGAGGTGGCGCTCGATATTCGTGGCGACTTTACGGAGCAGAGCTGCCCTTCCCATTAGGGCAGTACTTGCTGACTCGTACGATGACTGCCATTGTTCGAATAGGATTGGGCTCAGCTCCTTTGATGCAACGACGAGTGTTCTTAATCCTATTGAGGAGTAGGATTGTAGATGGGATTCGGTTGCTTTTATTGTGTTTGAGTTTATGGATTTGTCTATCACGTGGAACATTGATGTGTCGGCGCCTTTTACGAAAAGCTTGATTGTTTTGTCGGGGCATCCTAATATAACTGACATTCTCTTTCGATCGCTGTCGAACTCGTGCAGACCCAACACGTCGAACCTGCACTGCCCCGTTAATTGGGTATTAAAATGACACCCATAATTGCTCAAAGTTTTGAAAAACAGCAAAAAAATGAAGATAGAGAGAAAATTAATGAAATAGAAAAGGAAAAAGGAAAACTATACTATTGAATAAATTAGACGAAACGCAGAGCTAGATATCAATGAGGAACAATAGAAACAAGAAGGGCGGAGCCCGTTCACCTCTGCAACTAGAGCTCTCATAGTGGAGATAAATAATTTCCACTACTACTCAAAACTTCTTTTGGATTACTATCGACATAAATAGTCGACAAAAATTCTTATTCTACCACCCTCTCCGTTTCTTTAAGTGTCTCTTTAGCCATGATTTGGTTTCCCATATTAAGTGTCGCTTTTGAGTTTCAAGCCAGGACATTTTTTTTCGTTCAACTTTATACTAACATTAATGACAGATTAATGAAGATGATGAAAAGATAAATAGTTTTGGCAGCAGAATCGCTGATTCGATACAATAGTCGATAAAATGCTTATTCGGCGAAGTTACTACTCCATCCATTTTCTTTTCAAGTGTCTCTTTACCCATAACTTTATTTCCAATATTAAGTGTTGTTTTAGAGTTGAAGGCAGGACTTTTTTTTTTCTTTCAACTTTACTGTAACATTAATGAGGGATTAATGAAGATAATGAAGTGATAAAAGAGAAAATGAAAAGCCACAAAGGGGTAAGTAATTATGTCAGATAAGTACTACTTATCCTAAAAATCAAGGTTATTTAATAACTTTCTTAAAAAAAAGTGAGGGAGCAATAAATTTCAACATCAATGACTCATCGAGCAACATAAAAAGTTAAAAGAATAAGTACAGAAATTAACTACAGATTTTACCTTTGTCTTTCACCTTGAATGTCTATAACTATGTGACCCGAAGTTCTCTCGATAAGCGTAAAACCATAAGCTGCAGCTGCATACACCAAAGCCTGTTCGTCCGGAGATTCACCCTGGTAATCTATCAACCTGACAGCTGGATCCTGTGTCTCCACAGTTAGAGGAACAATGGTGTTGCAAGCAGCCAATGCTATGAAAAAATCACGAACATTTCTCCCTTCTTCTAGGTTTTTTCTTTTCGATAAATCAAGAAGCTCTTGATCAACTTTTACTTTCATCTTTGGCCTCAAAACCTGCTCACCACCTAACACCATAAATTATATGTATAAGTAACATGCTTGTAGATGTATAATAAGGCCTCGTTTGGTTCCAAAGATAGGATTAGCCAAGATAAAGTTAAGAGGATGTTTGGCTAAGCTTATAAGATGTTTGAGAGCTTATAAGCTCTTTCAAAGTGTTTGGTAATTTGTTCCAAAGATATCTTAAAAATTCAAAAAATTATAAGATCCTTTTTCAAAAAGTATATATAAACCACCTTTTTATTTAAGATCTTAAAAATAGTATAATTTTATAATCTTATTATTCAAACACTTCAAAAAATAATTCTAAAAATAAGACGTAACAAGTTATCAGCTCTTAAAATAGCTTATCGGATGTAAGAGCTTATCAGCTTTTTAAAATAAGCTTAGCCAAACGGGCCCTAAATAGCCTCATGAAAACCCCAATTATATTGTTGGGCCATTGTGTTTTTTCTACAATCCTGGGCCGGCCCGAAAAAGTTATTGGACCAATCTTTAATCAATCATGGCTAATCTTACCGACCAAATGAGGCCTAAGAATATTATCGAGCAATAAAATTTCAATGCAGTATAGTACCTTGAACAGGGTAACCTATGTGTCCATCTTCAACACATTCCTTCCCATTGCTATAGTCAACGCCACCAATACTCGCGCACTGAAACTCCATCTTGTTCTCAGTAAGTGTACCGGTTTTATCAGAGAAAACATACTTGATCTGCCCCAAATCCTCGTTTATATTCAACGCTCTACACTGAAACCTCGAATTCGTGGTTTCATCGTACATTTGGTCATCTCTAATCATGAAAAAGGCCTGACCAACTCGAACGAGCTCCATTGATATGTACAGCGAAATGGGAATCATAATTTGGAACACAATAACCGACATTAGAAACACAAACAATATCTCCCTGCCCATGCCGTAGTAGTTATAGTCTTCGACTTTACCCCCCGAATAATCTGATTTCCTATAAAACGGCATCAGGTCCAAATCGCCTTTGTGGCGTCTCAACCAAAGGCCATGGCATACAGAGACCACAACACACAGTAACACGAGAAAAACCGAAAGGAAAAAAATTTCACGGTTCATTAGGGTTTCGAGGCGGCTTCTCTTCGATGGAGCACCTGAATTATTGAGCATGGCTTTCGTCTCTCGACCTGCATAAACAGCAACTCCCAGCGCCCAATCGGTATTCTTCAACTCACAGCCACGTAGAATTATATTCGAAGGTCCGAGAGAAATACGTTTACCATCAACAACCATATTCGCTTGGAAACCGTAGATATTCCGATTAGGTTTATCGCACTTAATCAACCCACTAATCATTTTACTCTCCGGATGACTAACTTGGGTTTCTTGCTTTGCGTATCGAGTTTTTAAATTTGATTCTCCGTCCAAATTTGTGGTCTGCACATAAGCAACCCCGGTTGAGTCGCTCGTAGAGAGCAACACCATGTCACAAGGAAGAGTTTCGTTTGCAGAAACTTTAATAATCTCACCCACACGTATGTACTTCCATCTAATATGTTGAAACTCGTCGTTAATCAACACCCACGCCAGCCGATTATTCTCGATCTTGTCTGAACGGTGCCGCCTATAATCCTCGTACAAATCTTTAATGGCTGTAATAACTAGGACGAAAGCTAGCGGCATAATGGAAGCCCCTCGACCAAAAACAGCCAGCTGTGGGAGCTGATTGAGAATCGCAATCACAAGAAAGTATATATACGCAACCCTGTGGAACTGCTCGAATAAATTGCGGGGCAAGAACGTCAGTATCGAGTATTTCCCTGTCCTGATTGAGTTGCCGGCAAATTCGAATTTCTCGTTTGATTTAACCGGATCGTTTATATGTATTATCCTTGCATCGTCATCGTTCATCTCTTTGTAGGAGGAGCTGAAACCTTCGGAATCCGCACCTCTCGAGCCATGTCTTACGGGCTTCGATGCCAGCTCAGCAAAGTTCACCTCCCTAAGAGAGTGCCCACCCGAGTTCTTTGAGGAAGAAATACTCCGATTGGATAACGACTTGTGTACGAAGTCGTGAACTTGAGAGCTCTCGTTGATTTCATTCTGGGAATTCGAATCCATTCCCAGAAGAAGGATTTTTTCTTCTTTTTCCCCCAATTTAATAAGAAATGGGATTCAAACAATCAACAATAAAATTGAGGCCATGATCACAAGAGCAGAGACCCCCCTTTCAGCAGCTCAAAAATCGAAATGCGAAACTCCGAAAATTAACAGAGAATTCGGATGCCGATCTCACCCGAAAACCACCCAAAAATCGCAAATTCAGAAACAGCCCAGATGGGAATTTCCAACCCAAATCACACGCCAAAAGCGAAATTAACACAACTTTCAACTCACACTAAGCAAGAACCTAACTTTTTTTAATGGCTTCACAAATCTAAGAATTACCAATTCTACCACCTCTCTGTACTAAAATCCTGTTTGATTATGAAATAATAAAAAAAAAAAAAAAAAATTACAGCTGCGGGCAATGATTTAAGCTGGTATACAATTAACTTACTTGTACGAGAATTTGCAATAAATGCAGCAATCGCAAAGAACAGAAGAAGAGGGGAAGGGTTTCCTTCGGGCCGGCGTGTAATTTGTTCTGATGTGATTGGAAAATAAACGAATCATCATCATTCCCGTAGAATATTTGCGAAAATGCAGAGAAATATTCAAAGGTCAAAATGGATTTATTTATTGATTTATTTATTTATATTATTAAAATAATTTTCCTTTTTGAAACAGGAAATTAAAAAAAAAAAAAAAAAGGGAATTGAGGCGAAGATTGCAAGGAAAGAGGGAAGAACAACTATGGAGGGGAAGAAAACGTTATGGGTGACGACAACCCCATTATTATACCAAAAATATAATATTTATTTATTTTACTTTTGGATCAGCGATTTTCATTTCTGGTTTACTATTTCCATTAATCTTTCAAATTGGAATTGAAATTGATTACTTTTATTTATGAGTCATTTTCATTTTACGTATTTCCCATATTACCCTTATATTTTCACTTTGAACTAGACCCCTCTCTTTCAATTCATGAAAATGGTTAATCTGCTTGCATGGGTATAACTCAACTGGTTGCGGGATGGTAAGTTGGCACGAGGTTTCAGGATCGAATTCTGACTGCTGCAGTGTGTGAGAATTTCAACTTCAATGAAGGTACGTTCCTTGTGAACACCAGATTCGGGTCTGCTACCCTAACGGGCCGTTAAGTCACTATAATTTACATTTCTTCATAAAATACTTGTCTGGTCAAGGAATTGTGGACTTTGAAGTGAAGGATTTCACCTGTATGGTACTAGGAAAATGGTCGATCCTATTCTTTTTTTATTTTTCATTTAATTACTTTATTTTATTTATTATTCTTTTTTAATTTGTTTAAGTTAGTTATTTATTCATTTTTCATTCAACATATTCAGTTAACTATTAAAATCGTAGTTAATTAGTGTAGTCAGCTATTAAAATCATAGTTGATTGGCGTAGTCGACTATTAATACGATAGTAATTGATTGGTATAATCGGCTGCTAAATTTAATTCAAATTTAAATTGAAAAAAAACAAATCCAAAAAGGTAGCGAAAAAATCTTTGATTAATATCATATTACTAATTCTACTAAAATACCAAAAATCAAAGAAACACACAAATCTATTGTGTACACTTCGTCCACCACCAACAAAAAATTGTTCCACCATTTTACAATGCATAAATTGCAGCAATGATTGACAAAAAGGGCATCACGAAGTAAATACTTGCAATGCAATTCATACGATCCTGGCAAGCTCTAAAATGAAGAATTTGAAGAAGCGAAAGCTCATGATTTTAATGGAGGTCTTCGTGTTCAAAATGACAACATTCAAACACAAAGACTTGGTTGAAGAGTCCATAGTGTGGAATTGGTATAAAATAAAAAGGCAATTCATTGCACTAGCCGAATTCCATACATCCGAAATTATCTCCTATGTCTGGCAGTTTTGCCATTCGGAACATAACTTTCTCATCATACGGTCGATTGCTTTGATTCAAACTTCTTTGAAAAGTCAACTTAAATATCTAAAACTTTGTTGTTTTGATTGGAGAGAGAATAAGAGTGAAAAATGTCAGAAATTGAGCTTGAAGTAAATGCACTTGCACATCCAAGTGTCTACTCGAATTATTAAGAGGGTTCGTGTCGTCGACTTGATGTTTGGAGTTTCTATTTATTAAATCACGTTTTTATTTAGTAGTTTTAGTATTTTAGAGTCATAGATTAATTACAAGTTTTTATATTATAATCTAGGTATGGACATTTTTCTTGTAAAAAACTGTTTTTTTAGCCTTTATAAATAGGTTGCCAGCAAGCCTTTTTTTTGCAAGAACTTGATACATTTTATGAGAGGTTAGTTCTTCTTTATTGTTTTACAGCAAAAAAAAACTTTGAGATATATTCACAAGTAGATTTCTATTAGTCCAAATATGAATTGGACCGGGACATAATTTTGTGTGTAGGGGATTATCCCCAATTTCCCTAGTTTTATTTATTTAATGTGGAATTAGTGATCAATGATGATTAATTAATGAAAATGAGATTTTAATAGATTATTTAATGCTGATAATTGATAAATTATTTAATGAAATCTAAGAAAAGTTGACTTTGAGCGGTAGTTGTAGTGGTTTGAATTTTGGTTTAGGTGTGTAGTTTCATTTCAGAAGATTGAGGGATGCAATCAATGTTTTGAAAACCGGACCGGACATTGAACCGGCTAGTCAACTGGGTCACGGTCGAACCGGTTCAACCGGGGTCCAACCGGGTTTTTGAATATTTTTTATTTTGAATTATTTGTGAATAATTATAATATTATTATCTTTAAAAAAATATAATTTAATAAATTTATTCGTCATAAAAATTCAATACAATAATATTAAGCTAATTTTGAATTAATTTATTGAACATCTACAAAAAAGAAATAATTTAATTAACTAAATTTATTAATATATTTAAATAGTTTTTATTTATACCTATATTCTGTTTTTTTATTTTCATATATGATTAATTCCCCTCTCTCTCTCAAAACAGACACATCACAAACTCCAAAGCACCCCAGCCACCTACCCCACGCCAAATTCTTTTTCTTTTCCTCCTCCATCTCGTCTTCTTCTTTCTTCCACCATTGTAGAACTTATATCCAGATCGGAGCAACAGCACTTCGTCTATTTCAGCGGCAAACTTGACTTGACTTTTCTCTTTTTCTTGTTTCTCTATCATCTTGCCAATCAGATCTATATACATTTTTTTTAGACTCAGTCAGATCTATAAATTAATTGTCTTAAAATTTCAGTTAGTGACGAAACCCGGGTTTTTTCCGGTTCGAGATATTCCGGTTCAACCGACGGTTTTCCGGGTCGTTCGCCTTCCGACCGGTTTTTTGGAGCATCCGAGTTTTCATGCTTAACCGGACCGGACTGGCTTCCGGTTCCCGGTTGAACCGGTCGGACCGGCCGGTCCGGTCCGGTTTTAAAAACATTGGATGCAATTACGAATGAATGTATGTGCATACATGTATGCAACTTGTCAATAATAATAATGACAAAATGCGGTATCCCCTAGAAATTTCTAGTTTTCGCACTTTGTCCCCTACAAATTAAAAAAATGAGATTCTCCCCTTTGAAATTTCGTTATAGTTGCATTTTGCCCCAAATGTGACTTTTCAGAGGATTTTTCATCGGTTTTCTCATGTCTCCGTCAATTTAAAGGGCATTTTCCTCTTTTTAGGGTTTCCACCCAAATATTATTTATCGCTGAAAAAAAACCCAACTCAATAGGCAACACTTTACCTTATTTCAAAACAAAAAAAATAAAAAAAAATAAGGTATATTCTCTCAAACACATTGCGCGATAGTGGTCACCAAATCGTGAGAATCTTCAGTTTCTTCTTCGATTACCAGTTATTACGGTGATACTTTCCATAGATTTAAAAAGTATGAGTTGGAAAAGGAGAGAAGGAATGCACAAAGAGAACAGAGGTAATGTATAAAGCCCTCAAAACCAACATGCGATTTTTGTAAAATCAGTGGTCCGTGTGTGCTAGCATTCAATTTGTCGGACTTCTTGAAATAACGTGGTATATCATTTATTGTAGGTGAGGCAGATGACTTTACTATTGAAATGCACCATGGTGGCAAGTTTGTGGATATTGGCAGTCGTGTTTATGTTGGTGGGCAAATTGACCATTTTGTCAATTGTAATGCAGATATGATGTCAATGAGAGAAATTCATACAATGTCTGTGGAATTAGGTCATTATGAGGTAGATGGCAACAATGTAACATTGAGGTATTTTCATAATTTAGGAAGAAGATCATATGGTTGTAGTTCGAGGATGAAAGAATTGGTAAGTGATCTGGATGCAATGGATATGGTGAATTTTATTGATGGTGATAGGGTTGTAGGTGTATTTGTTGGGAATATCCACTCCAGAGATGGAACTGCTAGCCTTGAGTCTGACTATAACTATGATAATATACCAGAAGAAGATATTGAAGTAAATGAAGATATTGAAACAAATGTAGAGCAAGAGACTGAAACAAATGTGGAGGATAATATTGAAAGCAATATGGCTTATGATAGTGATAGTGCAGAGCAATCATATGGAGAAGACTTTGACCATTCTGATAGGTTGTATGATAGTGAGTATGATGATGACCTATATGATCAGAATATTGATGTGGATATTGAGTAGGATGGGGATGTTATATACCAAAGTGCAATTGTCAATGCTCCAACAATTCAGACTCAGGAGAGAGAATGAAAAAGTGAATACAATTATGCATATCTCCTATTGTTCAATCCTAAAGTAGACATGAAAGATCTACAATTTGTGGCTGGGCTCTGTTTTTCATCTACTCAAGTTTTAAGAGAAGCTGTGAGGAGGCATTCTATGAAGCATGGAAGAGGCATAATATTTAAGAAAAATGTCCCTGATAGAATCAAGGTGAAGTGTAAGGATGAGGACTGTGGTTGGATGATGTATGCTTCTTATAAGCATTGTGAAAAATAATGCAAATCAAGACACTTGGGGCAGAGCATAGCTGCTGCAGACAGAGCAAAGTTACAGCTGCAAATTCAAAGTTTGTGGCAAAAAAATACCATGATCAAATAAGAACCAATCGTTCTTGGCCAATTAAATACATGATGACTATTGCACAATTGGAGTGTCAACTTGAATTCTCAAGATTTCAGATGTACAGAGCTAGGAATAAGGTACTAGAACAAGCAAGTGGTAGTGAGCTGGCGCAATTTGGTAAAATTTGGGATTATGCACAGGAGATTAAAGCAATAAATTCTGACACTACAGTGAAGATAAAGACTTGTGTTAGAGAAGACAACATCCTGAGATTTCAGAGAATGTATATTTGTTGGGTTATAGAAAAGAGGCTTTATGGATATTGCAGACCTTTATTAGGATTTGATGGTTGGCAATTGAAATATCCAAGTGGAAGAATCTTGTTAACTGTCGTTTGGGATTAAGGGAAACAATGGAATGTATCCTGTTGCTTATGTTGTTGTGGAGAAAGAGAAAACAGCATCATGGTTGTGGTTTTTGGAGCTATTAATGGCAGATTTAGAGATTCACAATAGCTATGAATGGACTGTTATGTCAGGTAAGTAGAAGGGGTTAGTGGAAGCAGTTAAACAATTATTACCAGATGCTAAACACATGTTTTGCGTTATGCACCTGTGAAGCAGTT